TGATGATGATGATGATGATGATGAACATATAAGTATTACTAAAGCAGTATTGAAAGTTCTATTTAGAACAACATACTTCTCACTGGCGTTTTATGTAGGTGCGAAATATGGTCTCCCACTGCCTTGTGCTTCAGCACAGGGCGCAGACAATAATCAAATCTAAGACTTACTAAGTAACTGGATGCAGAAAATGTATAATGGAGAAATTCACAATAATTACTCTTCACCATATATATCCACAATGATTAATTCGAGAATTCGATGGGCGGGGCATGTAGTATGCATAGGAGATATGAGAAATGCACATAGAATTTTAATATGAAAATGCAAAGGGAAGCAGTGTGTCTAAGTACCAATCCAATGAAGCTGCAAACAGCAAGACTCACTGCGACCTGCAGCTGCATATCGGCTGTCACTCTGATACATGTTTGTGGCCCGGTTCACGGGAAGTACATGTGTTATATTTTATCTATTGAAGTTTCCCCTATCAATATTATGGTTAATCTTGCTCATCTTTTGAATGGCCCTGCGTAACTCTATTTTTCGGCTTGTGCTGCAGGTTGCTTTAGTTGCATAAATAAATACATGTAACAGGGATATTTTTACTTATAGTTATCACATAGGAGAATATGACCTCAAGTCTGAAGTATACGGCTATGATATAATTGTTAACATTATTGGTTATTCTTTGTACCAGTCTTTATTATCACCTTGTATAGTACTAGATTCTCTGTAAAATATCTTTTTGTGGTGCAGAACACATAACCTTACAGAAGAAGTGCCCTGTGTGATCTGTAAGGTCTCCACTATAGTGTTCCTAGTGATAATCCTTCATAGGTTACACAATTTAATACCAGATTTCACAAAAGCGAAAACGTATTTGTATCTGTAAGTCATGTTAACCATGATAATGATGCACAATAAAAAAAAAAGTAAAAGTAAAGGTGTCCCTGTGCTTCACTAATTAAGCACTGTGCCATGAAGGTGTATGGGGAGTGGATTTTATTTTGAGAAGTTAAATCAGTTTGCAGCAGAATTAAAATTCCAGTGAGGAAGTTCGGTAATGAATTTTATTTTCATTTTCATGTGATAAATATTTAATATTTATTTTATGTATTTACAGCATAAACAAGAACAATTATGAGGAGTTAATTGTGGACATGATCAAGAGAAGTCTGGTTTTGGATCACAGCAAATCACCATGTGAGAAGAACTTCATACCAGACAAAAAGGTGAATTTTGAATTGTCTCATTCTGGTCCGCTGCACTATTAAGTTAGAAAATTAATAGAATTTTCCATCCAGTGCGGCAATAGAGGTCACATCACTTTTATTATTCTTACCTTATATGTTTCGGTTTAAATAAAACCATCATCAGAGGCACTTTTCATACAGCAGGAGACACTGTTAATTAAGCTGGTTCATTTTCAGTTGTGTTATTCACAGATGTATGTTTTGTATTATTGTTGTAGGTTTTAGTTATGACGGCACTCGTTGTCATATAAAAACATAAACATGCAGAATAATTGAGTATGCCAATAGGCTATACGCAGCACAGGAATTATCCTTTTCCCACAATAGATTTCTTATGTTTGGTTAAAATCACGATTAAACTATTTAAAATTTAATTCAAATTGTCGTGAGTCGTTGGTTGTCAATTCTTCCCGTGGATGGGAGTCGTCATTCTTGGTGGTGTGTGGGCTTATATGCGTTATGTTGTTACATACTGGCAGTACAAAGGACACAACACACACATAACAACATAACGCGTATAAGCCCACACACCACCAAGAATGACGACTCCCATCCACTGGAAGAATTGACAACCAACAACGACTCACGACAATTTGAATTAAATTTTAAATAGTTTAATCGTGATTTTAACCAAACATAAGAAAACTATTGTGGGAAAAGGATAATTCCTGTGCTGCGTATAGCCTATTGGCTTACTCAATTATTCTGCATGTTTATGTTTTTATACGATGAGTGCTGTCGTAACTAAAACCTACGACAATAATACAAAACATACATCTGTGAATAACACAACTGAAAGTGAACCAGCTTAATTAACAGTGTCTCCTGCCGTATGAAAAGTGCCTCTGATGATGGTTTTATTTAAACCAAAACATGTAAGGCAAGATTAATAAAAGTGATGTGACCTCTATTACCGCACTGGACGGAAAATTCTATTAACTTTCTAAAAAGGTGAAGTTTGCCTTCACACACACACAATATTCACTACATCAACTTCATATTTTTCTGTAATATATTTAATCATTATGGCGTTTTGTTTATTTTAAAAATCGTTCAATTACAATGTCCCAGACTGATATTTTCACCAGTTATCAAATACATTTGCTCACATGGTGATGTCTGTGTTGTCTTGTGGCGTTGGTGGTTACCAGTGATTTGGAGGAAGACAGTTCATCTTGAATATTGAATCCTGAGGATGGAAGCAGCATGTTTCGCTGAAACACTGGGACCAACCTTCCAGATTACAATGTGGTGTTGTAACACAGATATCACAGAATGAATCTTCATTGTCATGAAAACCTCAAACCATACAAATACATATCTCTGTTTCTCATTACAACATGTTCATTATTTAAAGTCCAACTGAATATTTAATAAGATGTAAGTTATATATGTCTGCATATTTTTTCTTTGTTTCAGGGTGAATCATAGTAATGTTCATCAAAATGGAAGAACCAAGAGACTTCGTAACTTCATTATGGTGTTTTGTTTATTTTAAAAATCGTTCAAATACCATGTCCCAGACTGTTATTTTCACCAGTTATCAAATACATTTGCTCACATGGTGATGTCTGTGTTGTCTTGTGGCGTTGGTGGTTACCAGTGATTTTGAGGAAGACAGTTCATCTTGAATATTGAATCCTGAGGATGGAAGTAACATGTTTTGCTGAAACACTGGGACCAACCTTCCAGATTACATGGTGTTGTAACACAGATATCACAGAATGAATTTTCACTGTCATGAAAACCTCAAACCATAGAAATATATATTTCTGTTTCTCATTACAACATGTTCNAAGAATACACGGTGCCTAAACCCAGAAGACAACTTTCTTCATGTTCATTATTATTTAAAGGCCAACTGAATATTTAATAAGATGTAAGTCATATATGTCTGCATATTATTTTCTTTGTTTCAGGGTGAAATCATAGTAATGTTCATCAAAACGGAAGAACCAAGAGACTTTGTAACGTGGCTGCAAGTAGCCAGGGTATGGTTCAGACATGTTGTGCTGCTGGTAGACTGAGCTAACCCTCCTCTCTTCCTTCTACCACCAAACATGTCCTCCTCTTCCTGCTTCCTTTTCCACCACCTTCCTCCTTGTCACCCTACCTCCTCTTTCACCTCCTACCTTCCCATTCTCCTTCTAACTTCTGCCACATCATGCTCTTCCTCATGTCACTTCTTCATTCCTCTTTATTCCCCTACTTCCACCAACTTCCTCTGATGAATAATGGTCATAACGTACCTCTAGAGAGCAGCACCCCATAGTGCTTACTTATCCTACCGTTTTTAGTACCCCATTATATATGTTTGTTTGTAGTACATTCTAGTTATTGAAATTAGATATTTGCAACAAAGCTGAACATAGTGAGTGTGCACAGAAGTTGCTTTCTTGAGTGAGATTTTGCTCTGTGTTCAGTTATGATATAAATCCCTGTGCTAATGTTTCATTGGGCTTCATAGAATACTCACATAACATTATTCTGCAAATTGTTTCAGTGCTTCAAGATCTGGGACCTTGATGTTCGAGGTTATCACAAGAGTATGTGGAGACTGCACATGAAGGGCAGCAAAATGCTTCTCATTGGAGTGTCAAACTCAGAGTATTTGCAAGTAAGACTTCTAGAAACACAAATATGAATACTGTAGTGCTCATATGAGTCTCAGTGAAATGTTCAATACTTTTGAGGGTCCATAATCATCAGATCCCAGTGCAGACAGTTACATTATCATAAGAAGTTAACTAATTTCTTTTTTCAACACACAGTTGGAACCCGAATCATATTATTGGAGATCTCATTGAACATACAGATGTTTGTTTGAGAACTTGGTTCTGGGGATAATAATTTTGAAAACTAGAGGAACAATGATAACAAATCAAAACCTGATTCAGGATGAAATTAAGAGGAGATTGAACTCGGGCAATGCTTGCTACCATTCAGTCCAGAACCTTTTGTCTCCTCACCTGCTGTCCAAAAACATAAACATTAGAATATACAAAACTATAATTTTGCCTCTGGTTCTGTATGGGTGTGAAACTCGGTCTCTGACATTAAGGAAGGAACATAGACTGAGGGGGTTGAGGAGAATATTGGGACCAAAGAGAGATGAAGTGACAGGAGGTTGGAGAAAACTGCATAATGAGGAGCTTCATAACTTGTACTCTTCTCCAAGTGTAATTAGAATTATCAAGTCAAGGAGGATGAGGTGGGCAGGGCATGTAGCATGAATGGGGAGAAAAGTAATGCATATAGGATATTGGTGGGAAACCCAGAAGGAAAGAGACCACTGGGAAGACCAAGGTGTGGGTGGGTGGACAATATTAAAATGGATCTTAGAGAGATAGGTTGGGATGGTATGGATTGGATTGATCTGGCTCAGGATAGGGACCAGTGGAGAGCTCTTGTGAACACGGTAATGAACCTTCGGGTTCCATAAAATGCTGGGAAATTCTTGAGTAGCTGCAGATTTGGCTTCTCCTCAAGAAGAGCTCAGCTCCATAAGTAAGTAAGTAAGCCCTCATTATTCTCATTAGCCACTTCTTTCATAAGAGAACATAGTTAATAGCATACAGTTCAGTGGTTCTTACCTGCAGCCACTAGAGAATTGAGGCCTGCTGCCATGATGACTTTCATAACACTCTGTGCACTGGGGTTCAGGTGGGTGTCTGTCGGCTTGATCAACTGACGAAACAGTCTGGGTTTGTCGAGTTCATAGTTTCAATATGTGGTCCCACTTAGCAATAACAGGAAGTTGGTTGCCCAGATGCTCAGACTTCAACCGCATATTATACTTCCGGAATACATTTCAGGTGCACTTCAGGAGGTGGGGAGGATCATATACTGTTGCAATTTCTTGACTATGAAATCTGAAGAGTGGTTTCCTTTTGGGAGCACCCAGCAGTTTCAAGGCCTTGACACTGTTGGCCCCCATGTCACACACAGTGGCAACATCCTTCAGTCCAGCATTCTGACAGGCGTCAAGAACCTCCTTCAAGTACTGTACAGTCATCTCTGCCTTAGTGCTTCCATGAGTAAAGTAGTAAGCTGCTGGTTGCTTCCACTTTCCGTGTAGGCCACGGATCACGAAAACTAGAGCATGATTTGCAATACTGCATGTCCTGCCCTGGCTTCCAAAATCCTTAAAATGTCAATGCAGTCAAATTTATGGTTGAAATGCAAGTTCTCCCTGACTGATATTTCGTCAAACATAAGACAACAGTAGCGATTTCTACCACACATTTTCTGCAGAGACTGTTGGAGTGCATGAAACACATCAGCATTGATGCCTGTCCTAAATGGAATAGTATTCAGGACAGACTGCAAGGATTGTCTGGATGGGAGGGGGAGCAGTGAACGAAGAAGGATATAGGATTTAGGGTTACATTTAAGGAGACAGAGCCAACACCTTTTCATCAAGATTCCACCTCCTGCCCTTAGGCTTCTGTCTAATGTTCCGAAACATTGCTGCCAAAAATCTGGTAGCATCTAAACTTAAAGAAGATGAAAGACTCTGCATCAGTGGACCATTGTCCACATCACAGAGCTTTTTCAGCTTATTTCCCTTATATTTCTTTTTGTTTTTACAGAGCTCACTCTCTTTATTCCGAATAAGTTCATATAATTTCCTTTCTCTTGGTGACAATTCTGAAAGTGAAGCCAAATTAAGTTCTTTTTTGTTTTTTAGCAGAGACTGCTTTGCTCTAGGCTTTGAGGAAGAACTTTGACAATTGATATGCCCGAGTTCTCCATCAGAAGCATTGGTATTTACAGAGCTTAGGGGAAGAGATGTTTCTTTCGCTGCAAAGGTGTTGGCTGTTGTTGGTGGTGGTGGTTGGACTGCAGACGTCTGAGAGGAAGTGGAAAGACAGTCTGCATGTATAGGAATAGATGTTACAGTGGAGTGCACCATTGTCTTGCTGTAAGGGGTGGGAATTATAACTGAAGGCAAAGGATCGAAGGCAAGTGTATGTAATGAAGGGACAGGAGACTGTGGGTGTGACTGTGAAGCAGAATCTGAGTCACATGGAACTGCCACTCTGTCCAGGTGTACCCATTCAGCTGTAGTAAAATCACTGTCTAGGAAATATTTGCTGCACAAATATTTATTGTTCAGCCTTCTAGCAAAATCGATAGTGCAGGATAGTCCAACTTTTCCTGCCCATTCTTCAGCCCTGTAAAAGTAGAACAAACAGTCTCAAAACCTAGAAATAATTCTTCAGTAAACATGACAAACTTGGTACACATTCTAAATTTTTGGGTTACGTTGAATAAATTGAACACAGACATACACTAAACTTAATTTATTCATTGGATTAAGCAGCACATAATAAAGTAATTACACCATGAGTTAAAACAGACATACCATGCTGGATCCCTTGGAAAGCTGAAGAATCTGATGCCTTGCTTGCTGGATGACGAGCACCCATCAGCAGAACAAGTTTTTGTTTTCATGTTTACACTGCAAGAAGCAATACAAAAATTATAACACCATTACGGTACTCTTAGAACTACTTCACATTCTACTGGCAGTCTTTGGGATAAACCGAAATTTGCAGAACATATCATGAAAAAATATCGTTTAGATATTCATGATAACCTCAAAAATTTTAGGCTTAAAAGAATTCTACATGTTTCTAATTTCATTTGTGGTAATAAGCATAACATTCATATACACAAATGATATGTTTAATATGGAGAGGCAACTTCGTTCGCAAATGTCTACTTTCGTTTCGCGACCACATCAAATAAACATTCATACTTAACCAATTTCCATATTATGTACCACGATAACCGGAAGTAATTATGGGATTATGGGTATTCAAATTGGTTTGTTTAGGCTCTCTGATTGGTCGAGACCTGCGTGAAGTTACTGCATTTATTCGTAGAGGCAGTAGTTACTGTGTTTCCCTTTCCCCTATTCCAGTTGCAACCCCCTGTTCATAGAGGCGGTAATTTCCCCTTTCTCCTATCCCAGTTTCATTCCTTCATTCCCTTGCCAGCGACGTTCACCGGCGTCGCTGGCGTTGTAGAGGTTGTAGAGATACATTTTTTTTTTATTGTTAGGGGACTGGAACTGCGTCTCTTGTATTGCGGCCATTTCTGGCCTATTGTACCAGACCCGGGATCGAACCCGGGCCGCCCCGGTGGGAAGCCAGCGACTAACCGCTTGAGCTATGGCGGGGCTTGGAGGTACATTTAGTTTTGTTTTGTAAGTCATGAGTCAAGGGCAGTGTGACAGCTACGTAGGGAAAAATACAGCTGATGATGGCCAGTTACGGCCGAAACGTAGTGTAGAAGAAGAAAAGACAAAGAACTACAACCAAATAAATTGTTGCATTCACGACGGCGTTTGTATTATTACACGTACATATAGAACAGATGATTGGTCTTGACATTTGTTATTGTGCTTGAATATTTTTGTTCCATTTTGTTTCCGGTTCTTCTAGAACCAATATTTGATCCCCGCTAATAATCTGATGTAGATAACTGCATTTTATAAAAGCTGTACTGGCATCAAAGTTTGTGAAACAGTGAAAATTACAAATGTGGCTATGGATATCATGGTGTTCTGTCTGTAGTAACTGAAATGTAGAGGACAACATATAATTATTGACTTGGAATTTGGAAATGGAAAATAAGCATGAGTTGTTCCAAGAAATTTTTTATATATAAATAATGCAGTATTGCATTGCTTGCATTTGTAAGGGAATTTAAATTAATTTACCATTTTTAAGGAGCTCAAGCCTTTACGTTTATGTATTTTTAGAGTGTTCTAATATGGAGATATATATGATGAAAATTTATATAGTATGTGAGTATTATTAGTACCTTTTCTTTAGGCCAGTATGTATACCAGCAGATACTTGATCTGTGTTGACAAGTTTGTCAGAAGTCTCACACATTTACCATTGCACTGTCTTTTTCAATATTGAGGCAAGAACTGAACCTGAGAGTACCAGCAGATATGTTTCCAGGGGGTTGGGGGTGGAAAGTGCCAAGTATTATCATGTAGGAATGTTATGTAACCATAATTTTTTTGTGTCATTGCAAGCCACACAGAAGTTGTACATTTTGTTGAAATTAAAACTGGATGAAGTTTGAAATTGTACATGCAGATTCACATGCAAATCAGAACCTGTTTTTTAATGCTATTCATGTAATTGTTTCAGGCCTGTGACGCACCAGCACTAGACCTCAAGTGACTCGTCTGCCGTAAGAGCAAGGAGCTGTTGCTTTGCAGTCATAGCAAGCAAGTTACAGCAATTCTCTGACATCCATTTTGCTGCCCTATCATCCATGCTTGACTCTTTCAGATAGCCTTTTCTCTTGAGGTTGTGCCATAAAAATCTGGTCATGTCAAGACTGAAGTGAAAATCTGTGCATGTCAACACTGAAGTGAAAATCTGTGCATGTCAAGACAAGTGAAAATCTGATCATGTCAAGACTGAAGTGAAAATCAGTGCAAGTCATGATTGAAGTGAAAATCTGTGCATGTCAACACTGAAGTGAAAATCTGTGCATGTCAAGACAAGTAAAAATCTGGGCATGTCAAGACTGAAGTGAAAATCTGGTCATGTCAAAACTGAAGTGAAAATCAGTGCAAGTCAGGACTGAAGTGAAAATCTGTGCATGTCAAGACTGAAGTGATAATCTATGCATGTCAAGACTGAAGTGAAATTCTATGTATGGCAAGACTGAAACATGGTGGGAAGATAATACTGCAGTATTACAGGAAGAAATATCAGTTTGATGTGTGTGACCATGTCAGGCTGATACTCATTTGTCCAACAAACTGCCTCTCTTGCTTTACTATGTTTGCTTGTAGTAGGGTAACACATATGTATGATATCATCTGACTTTGTGTTTTGCTTTGATGCTGTCTAGGTGCAATGTCGGTTACTATTCACTTGCTATTCTCTGTTGTGACTACATGTTTCGGCCTAACTGACCGTCATCAGGTGTACAGGCTGTTGTGATCACAGAACCTGCTGCTTACTGTGATGCCATTCTGTTTCTGTAAATGTAGAGGCCTTGGATTGCATCTGGTTATGTGGGTTAGTCATGTGTTTTTTGTTTACTTGTCCTTGAGCTGCTGGTGTTTGCCTTATGGTTTTGTTTGGTTGGCTGTGGCTGTGTTGAATGTTCTTTCCGGGGTAGGAATTTGTTGTGTTGATGGCACAACAAACATGGGCAGCTCAAGGACACCTAAATAAACAACAGATGGTTAACCTAGATGCAATCCGAGACCTCCGCACAACAGAAACAGAACAGCATTACACTAAGCAGCAGGTTCCTTCGTCACAGCAACCTGTACACCTGAAGATGACCGTCAGTTAGGCTGAAACATGTAGTGACGACAGAGAAAACTATGAGAGAATAGTAACCAAAGTTGCACACAAACGGCATCCAAGAAAAACACAAAGTCAGATCTAAGCAGTTTAACAGGATGCTGCAATATAACATTATGCCTAATATCAGTTTATGTGAAATTTATTCATGGTCTTCTGGCTTATGACATGGTTACAAAAGTTTTCTGCTGGTCTGTTGAAGCCAGGGGCAGTATGCTCTCTATTAACCATCTACCAGGCATCACAGTGTCATAACTTAGAAGACAAGAATAAGACTTTCCACCATTGCAAAAGATTCAAATCTCATACTCTGTAAAATTGTTTGTATTTTCAAATCTGGTGGATACTGTAAGGAAGTAATCACTAAACCATAGTAGTTCTGTGTTTCCTTACGTGACAGGAGGTTGGAGAAAACTGCATAATGAGGAGCTTCATAATTTGTACTCTTTGCCAAGTATAATTAGAATGGTCAAGTCAAGGAGGAAGCAGTGGGCAGGGCATGTAGCATGAATTAGGTAGAAGAGGAATGCATATAGGATATTGGTGGGAAAGCCAGAGGGAAAGAGACCACTGAGAAGACCAAGGTGTAGGTGGCTGGACAATATTAAAATGGATCTTAGAGAGATAGGATGGGATGGGATGGATTGGATTGATCTGGCTCAGGATATGGACCAGTGGAGGGCTCTTGTGAACACAGTAATGAACCTTCCAGCTCCATAAAATTCTGGGAAATTCTTGAGTAGCTGCAGATTTGGTTTCTCAAGAAGAGCTCAACTCCATAAGTAAGTAAGTAAGTAAGCTCTATTTTTCCTTATAAGGAAAGAACTTGGGAGGTAAAGCTATCCCTATAACGGTCTGTGGAGGCCCATAGGGTTGTGAGGCATTGAGGCTTCAGCATTTCCTAGACAGTCGGCTCACAAATGGAGGTGGTGATGTCAGCCTTATGTGCCGGCCATCCTTTACCACCCAAGAAGATTCCTGGTACTCATTTCTGTTAGAGGCTGAGTTGACCCCAGGGCCATAGTGCAGCTGGAAGGATTAGGTCAATTGAAAAGTCCAGTGATCTCATCAGGAATTGAACCCGTGACATTCTGGCTTGTAGCATAGTATCTCAGCAACTATGCCACCGAGTGCCCGCGAACTTGGGAGGTACCACAGTTAAAACACAGCTGGCTCGGTCAGTATACAGTACTGTCAGTTGAAAGGGCACCTATTTAAACTGGGACTGGTAAATAGATACCTCTATAAAAGGTGCCTTGACATGGTTCACATGTCCTATTTGTGCCTGAGGATGTGACTGAATTACGATATTGTTGCCTGGGACTCCAACTGAAGGAACCAGTTGAGTATGAAATGGCACCATTAGGCAAAGTACTGTGCTTTCATTTGAGCTGCAGGATTGCTAGTGGGCTATGTTAAAAATGGAGTGTAAGTAGATTGTAGACTGTCTCTTCATTCCAGCTCCTTTAATCTAATTTTGTGTATAAGGCAAATGTTCATTAGGACAGCTGGTAAATAGATTCTAAAGGGTTCTGACAGTGGTATAAAACACTCAGAATTACTGGGTTTTCGGAAACAGATCCTGTTTCTGAAACGCTGTGTTTTCTAGTTGTTATTTTTGTTACTTCCACATGGATCGGAACCACGCTTTGCTACCATAACAGGTTATGGGCCCAGGATCGTATCATTGATAAATGTAAAAAGTATAGAAGTAAAAAGTGTTATGTAAAAGTGATCCTTTGGACTGACGCCGCTATCAAGACAAAGAAACAAGTTTCATCATGGCCACTTCGAAGCCGTTCACGAATATTGATAGGCTCAAAGGACACGACTTTGGTATTTAAACAATAAATCCCATTTTTGGGAAATGCTTTGGCAAGAACTTTGCCTCTTACCTGAAAATCATCAGAATCATATAACTTGCAAGAGTCTTTGGTGAATAACACAATTGTACCGTTATTTACAATTGAGTTTACAGACAACAAATTTGTAGACAATCCCAGTACATGCAATATATCTGAGATATGGCTATAATTGTCATTCATAAGTTTTACATCACCAAAACCTGCACTGGTTAACATGTTTTCATCAGCAAGGGTTACTTCATGTTAATCATGTGTTTTATAATTTTGCAAAATAGTCTTATTTCCAGTCATATGGTGTGAAGCACCAGAGTCTATTACCTAAGTGTTCTCTCTAACTTTAACATGATGGGCAGACACCATGTACATGGATCTCTTACTGGTCTTACTTTTCCATTTATTTTCATCAGACCTTTGATCGGATCCTTCTTCATTTTCATCAGTACTATTAACTGATTTAGAAGACTGATTGCTCTTAAATTTTTTCCTATGCTGATTGTTATGATTCTTATTGTTCGCCTTATCCTTATCTTTGAACCAGCAGTTTTTGTTTATGTGGCCTAGCTTACCACAAATTTGACATTTTGCTGGTTTACGTTTAATCTTATCTTTGGACAGAATGGCTGAATCTGAATTTGCATTTTTACCAAATTCACTGTCTTGCAATAGCTTAGATTTAATGAGCTCACTTATCATTCAATCCACGTGGAAATAACAAAAATAACACTAGTTTCTAGAATACCGGACGATGGGCAGAGTTTTAAATCCCAGTAATTCTGACAGTTGATAAAGTTTGTAGAAATTGTTTTTTGACCTTCAGTTTCAGTTTGATGACATTAACTACTGAACCACTGCAGCTAGACATGCAAAATTTGGTACAGAGATAGATTATAAAACATACTTGCATGTCATGTTTATTACGATGACTGAGGTATTGTGGTACTCTTGAGACTATCTGACAAGTTAATGTAATCAGTCTGTATTTAAGTAACATGTTCTTCACAATTTATTGTGATGATGGCAACAGCAGGAGCAATAGTAATAATAATAATTTGGCATTAACAGTAGATGTATAGGACTCAATGTCTATGCAGAAAGAAAGTATGAATATTGCTCAGAACTTCCTTGTTTGAATTAAAGACTCATCATTTTGGATTTCCTGTTGTAGTTCATATACTTCAAGAAGAATAAATATTTGAGGGTCATTATGGAAAAAATTAATTAATCCAAATTATGAGGTACACTTTTTAATTTTTTTTATTGTATAGTTTAAATGTCACCCTGATGTATTATCTCTACATTTGAGTTCTGTTCAGTTTTGCTGAACAAACTTAAGAAAAGTGTTTCTTCAAAATCTGTTCGCAGAGAAGGAAGCCATTACAGTGGTGAAAGTGTGGGAAGTTGATAACATGATGTTCGTAGACATGAGAAGCTTGTGTGTGCTTGCTGCTTGCTTGGAAAGCTAGAGAACTGCACGTGACAGTAATTCTAATTGTCTCATCTCTTCCTTCCTTCATTTGAAGCATTATATGTTAGTGGGAAGCTTTCTGAGCTAAATTAATGTGCAGTTTCTTATTTCCGTCTTCTAATGCATAAGTTTATCAGTGCTATAAATGTAGTAATCAATATGTAACAGGAATCGTTCATTTAGGGCAGCCGTGTCAAACCTGCGGCCCCCATAGCCACAAAGTATGGTCCCTCAACTTTTAGAGCTAATTGATATTAAAATCAATATTAAAATTTTAGTAGAAATATTTTTTTGTAAAGACAGTTTTCCAACAGACCAAAAGACAAGACGTCTCACACAGACATAAATTAGCAGGCTGCAGGAAATTCAATGTTTTGCTATTTCTAGCATAATTTCTTGTGTAATCTCTCTTTTTGCATATTGAAAAGCTGTTTGATACTGGTCAAAAATGGCATTCTCTTGTTTTTTAAAACTGTAAGATATGTGACTTTAGGTAATTGTATTGAAATTATTCCTAAATAATAAATAGAATTAAATTTCCTTGTATCAAAATCTAATGTATATTTCTATTTTGAAGTGCAGCCCTGGACTATTATTTATAGGGCTGAGGTGGCCCTCTGTACAAGTTGAGTTTGACATGCCTGATTTAGGGAATGTGTTCATTTGTATTCATGAGTTTATAAGGCAGAATACCAGTTGGGTCTTTTCCTTTCTCTTTTATGCATATATAGCATTTTC